TTGCGGATTCGGGGTCCTCTAGTGCAGCGCAGCACAGCCCCACCGTCAGAAAAAAAATATATATATTCCTGGGCCTGTTTTTGCGTCACCCGGTTCACCCGGGCGGACCCCCCCGGGCCCAACCGGCCAGGGTCCGCCCGGCCGGGCGCCGGGGCAGCCTAGATAAATACTGCCCATACGAGCTGCAGCACAAATGGACTCCGGAATTCGTTGCTATCCGGATCACCATATGGACTGTCCGTACGAGGGCGTAAGGTGCGAATGGCATCAGCAAGTACGAAATAACCCTTCTCCACCTTGTCTCCCATTATGTTAGCTATCCTTTCGCGTGACGCAATGTCTTGCTGCACAAGCTCGTGATGAACCTCAACCTGCTGCTTAGCGATGTCACGTGTCGCTTCACAACGCATCTTCGCGATAGCGAGGTCTGATCGTGTCAGCGTTGTCGTGTGAGCACGCATAGCAACTGTCATAGCCTGTACACCGGATTCATGTGCATTGCTAGCAGTTCTTTTTCGTCTCCCGAGCGTCGGCTCAAAACCTGTCGACCGTGAGCCACCGACCGAACCGCCAGACCCGGCCGCCGGATCTTCACCCCCACCATCCATCTCCCCATCAATGTCATTCACCCCCTCTCCATCTTCAAGATGCTCCTTGTCTGCCCCTGAATCCATCAAATTGGAGAGGTTAATAGAGTCCTTGTCGTTCTCCACCGGATGTATGATGTTGTACCAACGTCGACGAAGCACAAAGTCGACGTTGTATTTCTTCCGCCTTGTCTGATTCATGTCGCAGTAGCTCGGCAAACCGGACCAGCTCTCGTGCGCCTTCAATCTTCTATAGTAGTCAAGGATCTGGTTGAACTTGTTCTTGCACTGGTCGTCTGCACGGTTGTAAGCCTTCGCACGCATGCGCTCTTCCACATACTTCCAAAAACCAGCTTTCAGCCTCGCGCGCCCGTACGCTTCTTTCCCCATCAACGCCTTCACCTCATTTCTGTACCAGCACAACCACTCAGTTTCGGTCTCCCCCCACCGATCTGTACTCTTCTCCCCCGGACACGGCCGTGGAGGGTGGCCCTCAGACGATCCCCGGCCTTGTTCTCCGGCAGGTGGTGTGTGAGAACAGCCATCCCCGGTGAGTGGGGACGGGGTGCCCGCAGCTACACCTCCAGAAGATCCACTCCGGGGAGGTGTGTGATGCAACCCGGACTCCCTGGTGAATGGGGGCGGAGTGCCGCAGCTACACCATCGGACGATCCACACCGGGGAGGTGTGTGCGAGGGGGTTGTTTGCGAGGCAACAGCCTGACCTCTACACCCACCATTCATATGCTCCGTAGGGTGGACACCAGCCTCTATGCCCCGGATGATGCGATTGAGGACGTACTCAGATGACGCAGCATGCGGACTGAGCTGCTGCCTAAGAGCACCATCACACAACGGTTCCGTTAACACGCGAAGACTCCCATGCCCAGCCAGCGACATTGCAGTGGGAGCACCTGACTGCTGGGATGGTATCGTGTCAGCGTTCAAAGAACTAACACTTGACGGGCCGGGACTGCCATGCTGGCTTCCTGCATTGCGAGCCGGAGACGTCTCATAGCCACCCACGGCTTGTTCGTCCATGGGCGGGGTCAGCCTGTCGGCCATAGCCATTGCCCGCATTCTCAGACGCTGCCGGAGAGTGTGCTCATCATCACCGCCTAGCTCGATTCTGAACCCGCGAACAGGCATCACTGGCGACGACAAAGCAGGACCGCCTGTCATGACATGGGAACGCAGTGCAAAGGTCACACACTCTGTGACCTTCGCGTATTCCACAGCACAGACAGGCCCCCCACTCCTTGCTGGTCCAGTACCTGCAGCAGACGGGGCGTCATTCTGGGATTCGGACCACCGCCAGTCGGCAATACAAGACAGGCCTGCGTTCTGGGTGTACTGGGCCATGGAGAAGCGACGTGTCATCTTCCCTGTTCAGTAAGTCTACAGTGCACAGTGACGAACTGCAGAGGCAGTAGACGGAGACAAACGGAGGGGTGCGACAACCATATCCCGACGTACGAAACACAGCAGTAAGCTGGTCCCCAATGTGCATTACGTTGAGGGCGGTACCGGATATCTCGAGGTACGCACTGCACTGCATGGATTTGGCGTGCACCCATGGCCATATTCGTGGCCCGCACGGAAGTTCTTTCCTCTAAGAAAGTGGCTCCACTCCAAATCCGTTTCCACATTCGGACTTTCCTCATTCGGAAAGTCCCGCAAGTAGTGTACTTGGACCTGCACGAAGGGGGGTGCATGTGTTGGACAGCACCTACATACTTCGCCTTAAAGCTGGACAACATTCACCCATGCTTGCAACGGGACACCTTACTTTTATGACGCCATCTGCCACGGCCCATTCAACTGTCAGTGCACACGATAATTCATGATTCTCCACGGACATCCTGTTTTTCTCAATTTCTGCAAAAATAAAATAGCAAGGCGCGAAGCTTCAAACACACCCGCCCCCCCAAAAAAAACCATAGTATTGAAGCTTCGCGCCGACGCAAAGTGGCCAACAAATGAATTAAAAAAAAAATCTACTGGCCAACGGGCAGCTTCATCCACAAAAACAAAGACAATCCACACTAGCAGTCGATACGCGAAACGATCAACGACTCAGGGATGTCATGGACAGCCGCGGTCGAAAATGGAGGAGCACAAGCGTAAATCGGACGTAGTGGTCAAGGCCCCAATGCAGACATCCAGAAATGGAATGGAGACTCTCTTTTCTTTTCTACCTTTTTTTTTTTTTTTTTTTTTT